CTATATTAGGGCTCTAAGTCTAGAGTCTAGGATCTAGGACACTAACAACCCGCTGCACTAAGGGGATTAGGGTCAAAATTTTCAACGCATAATATACGTTGTATTTTATTGTTATATGAAAAAGAAAGGAAGGGTGCGCCATAAAAATTGTTATTGAAAATTGGGCCCCGAATACTGAAAGGTTGAGAAACGCTGTATGTATTCTAATATTTTTTTATACCTAATGTCATTTTACCATTAATATCCTATGAAAGTTTTTATAAATGAAATCACGTTTTTAATTTCGACAAAATACAATATGTAAAACACTTTAAAAGTTATTTAATAAAGCATATAAAAAAATATATTTAAAACCAGCCACATTTTCATTGAACCTTTGTAGCCAGATTTCCTGGTTGTACATTTTTTTGATAAAAATATTTTGTGGTCGTAGAAAAAATATCGTATATCACTTGTGTAAAAGTGTGATTGTCGTACTGGGCTTGTGCCTCATGCGACAATATTTCCCATTCATGTGAAACATGTCACTTTCCACACTCGTAATGTAATATACTATTATTATGAAGTTTAATACAATTTATTCATCAAATTTGTACGTATAACTTTTGATTTAGTTTTCAAAATAATGAATAGTATTACATCGCTACTACTTATTCTTTTTACATATCTCAGCACATATATGCTTTGAAGTTCGAATTCCTAAATATGAACTCGATCAGATTCAGACTCGCGTCATAGTAATACATACATTCTCATCCCATCCAAGCTCTTCAAATTCTTCCTAAAGCCACCCTTTTTACATCGTGTAGAAAAATAGTAATTTTATGATTTCATTAGAACTAAATATATAAGATTCTTCATTTGTTCAACAGTGTTAAGTTTTTCGAGTACTAAGTACTAGTTTTCCGAAAACTAGAAGTACGACTAAAATGGAAAGATAACATAATGTATGTTTGTTTATTTTAAAAACAATTTATGTAAAACAGTTTACTATTTATAATTTATTTACATACACTGAACACTAATTAATTAATTTATACTTAAATAAGTTACTGATTTATATTTCACACTTATAGTTTAATTTATATATTAATTGGAATGTCTTCTATCTATAAACTGCTGCGCACCGCACTGTTCTCGAGGAATTCCAGGTATTTCTTAAACTTACTAGATGAGTTCTGACTAAAGCTGCCAGAACTTTCTTCACCGATCGCCTCGCATTCTCCGCAGACGAAATGTCTCGTTCGACCACAGACCATACCCTTTAAAGATGGGCCACTCAACAGTGAAAAATTTTACTCATCTTTCAGCGCCATCCGTAGCGGTTGCAAATAGTTGAGTTAAAAAAAAAGAAGATAACTAATAATTGAAAATTTGTTCAAGATTTATTATATAGATGGCGGTAGGGGTCAATGAGCGCGGGTTTTTCAAACACGGCCTTTCTAATAAACCACTACTAAGTTTTCAAAATTATAATTTTTCGTTCTTTTTTACTTAAAATGATTCAAACATTTTATTTTTCACTCAACATACTTAGATGGATATAATCCATTGGTTTATGTTCTGTGATAAATAAAATTTGAAATATTTTAAGTTAAAAAGAAAACGAAAAATTATAATTTTGGATTTATGGAACAAAAAATACATCTTATTATGAAGTAAAACACGATTATAACCATATATTTTTTATTATTAGAATTAAAATTGCACGAATTCTTATTACAGTACACAATAATAAAGAAATATGAATATAAAACTATTGCGAAGTTCACCCATGGTTGTATCCAGTAGAAGTTGTAACGAAAGTTCCTGGGGAAAGTTGGCTCTGGCTGCTGTTGGGTGTACTTGTCACTTCCTATTGCAGTGTTTGCTGATTCGTTTTTATGTAAAAAATGAAGAAGAGTATCAGTTAAAAAATATAAAGTTCAATTTTATTATTTTTGTTTTGAGTCAATTCAGCTGAGCTATTAATTTATTAGCTAGTGAGAATGAATCGGCATTTCTTAAAAATATATCGTAGAAGATTTTTCAATAAAATGAAGGAATTTGAATTTAGTAAGAATGCAACTTTTATTAATTGGAATCAATAAATTGTGAAGATACCTAGGTGAGGTAGGTCACAGTATATGGAGCAAAAAATAATAAGAGTCGCACAATATAAAATATACAATTATTGGTATGTTTGAAAAGTACCTCATTTTGAATTCGGAAAAAAAATTGTGTATAGGTATCTACTATAAAGTATCCATTACATATTGTATAATTCTAAAAAAATACTAATAACACTATTTATTTCAATCTTCTTAATATTCACATATTTTATCTAGTTACTGAAATTGTATAGAAAATGATAAAAGTTAGGTTAAGATTTTTAATTTTTCCTAGAAAACATTAGGTTACCCGCATTATTTTGGAAATTTATTTCACAAATTGGGTACTTTTAAGTAATAATATATGCTCTTAAAATTTGGCAAAGTATTTAAGAATAAAATACAAAAACAAGTTTTTACTTGTAAAGAAATAAAATTGTAAATGTATTCCTTACCTGCGACTAACTTTATCCTGACAATCTGGATCAGCACAAGGACGAATTCGCACCATAATTATATATGTTTAAAGCTTTAAAAATTATCTTCGAAAAACTAACCTAATAAAACAAATCAACCATTACCATTATTACCATTAATAGCGTTTTTTTAGCTGTTGAAAGTTTTAAATAACAACTTGCGTACACTTGCGTTACTCTGAACCTGCTCTGAATACACTCTGAATCTGCTCGACGAATGCAATGAGCAAACTTTGTGTAAGTAGCGCCATCTATGGGTGGTGCACAGTACTACAACACGAGTAAGCATTTCCCTATTAAAGATCCCCTAGCCTGCGTTCGACAGGCGAACGCGGAATACAGGCGGCATAATAGGAGTTTCCGGAGGTGACTTCTTTAATTGAATATTTTTAGTTACAGAAAAACGTGTTGAAAAACTAAATAATTTTAGTTGTCTTTAAGAGTGATTTAAGGATGTCCTAGCAAAAAAAAATCTGAAACAATACATGGATTGCTATCGTGATGCTAGAGAAAATATACGTGTATTTTTGCCCATTCTAAGAGAGCCAAAATTATAACCTATTTTAATATCTGTACATGGGTTTCAATAACACCGTCTATACATTTATAGGATAATTTTTCTTTGCAAAACAAATGAGCGACAATCAAAATATGTTAAAATAAAAACTACTCGTATAATTATTAAAGAGCACTATTGCCAGATATAGACATTACATTAAATATTTTTCCATACGCACATGTTACCTTAACAATATCTAGTCAAAGGGCTTAAAGAAAAACATAATGAACCAAAAAATAAATGAAATCTCGGATATTGAAAAAACAAATAGTTATATCTATTAATAGTCCGTCTACAGATGCAAAAGAAGCGTCATGTAGAGTATATAAATAAGACTGAATTCTAAAAATACATTTTGGAACTTTTTTTAAGAAATCTCACATTAGTTTCGTGTGTGTGTGTATTTCGGATTATTGATAATATTTGGAATCTTCTAATTACGTGTGATTTGACTTTGATCAACTTATAAATATAATAACAATTGAAGGTTATTTTTAAACGATCATTTTGGCATTTAGATATATCAGAGTTATTTTGCCCGTACAAATTTATGTTGAAAAAAAAATAATTTTCGACATACTTTTTTTTATTCCGTACTATATCTTCAAGACAGCAAAATATGCATTTATTTGTTTCTTCTACTACTTTAAAAGAATTGAATATATTCTAGTGTTTTGTTAATTTTATCAACTTCAATTGCTCCTATTTCTAAGTTTTGAATCCTAATTATTTCCCTTGCTTCAAGGTTTTTGGGCCATTTTACCTCTCTCCATTTTTTGGAGATATAACCACAGCTTATACAAGCTGTGATATAACGAGGATCTATCTAAATATTTACCTACTCAGTGTAAGTTTCTTCCAAACTCACTGAAGTAGGGCTGGCGATTTAAATGGAACGAAACTAGATAGTGCCAATATAATTTTAAAATCGTCTTGAATATGTTTAGAAGTTTGCCAATCGTAGACAAATGGGTTGTATTCTTCTTCTGTCCAGTCGGTCACATCTGTGATTACGGCTGCGGTGTGGATTTCTTGAGAGAGTCTGTGGAATCTCCATTCAACTTTCTGTTTTTGTCTGCACATCCCTTTAGAGTTGAAGTTTTTTCTGAGATTGAAGACGAACTGGAGAGAGCGGAGAATCACCAAAAGTTTGTTATGTGTAGGATCTTTATGCATCTCTCTGTTTTTGTCTTCAGATCCCAGTAGAGTTGAAGTTTCTTTTAAGATTAAAGAAGAATTGGAAATGGTGGATAATCACCAAAATTTTTGTATGTGTATGTCATCATCCATTCGAAAAATTATTAAAAATATAAAAATAATAGATCTAATTACGGCGTAGATGAAAGAATACACGGTTCTACAAAAATTTCAAATAATTCATTATAAAAAACCATTTTATAAGCGAGGAAAGTCTTCTAAGAAAAAAGTGGAATCAAAGGCCTCTGGTCAATCTAAATCAAAAGGGAGTTTAATTAATGGTATTGCTTATTCTATACCGTTCTTCTGGAGCAATTGTAAATTCAAAGACATTTTTGGTAATTAGAAGTCGAAATAATCCATTATTCTGGGTAACAAGTCAGAAAAATATATTTTTCCGAGTTCTAATATTGAGTTTGTATGGATTTGTAGAAAAAACTTCTATTACTTTAAAAATAATATATTAAAAAAGTTCAAAGGCATGTTTAGTAAAAGAATGTTATCTAAACTGTTGTTGCTTTATTCTCTGTTTCTAACTTTGAGGTCGAGGTGCTTGACAAAGATGTGGAGTACGTATTTACGACTATATTTCTATGATTTTTTAAACATAATTTTTGTTAGTGTGAAATGAATGCATAAGTTAGAAAAAACAAAGTGAAAAATGTAAACTCAACTTACAGCTGTCACCAAGTTAGGATAGTATTTCTGTGTTACACTTGCTAGGACACTAGGTTTCGTACTAGTACTAGCACTAGCCGTACTATTCGAGGAACTGTATGCACTATCGTTGTGAACCTTATAGGCCTCGTCTAGAGCGGAATACTTGGCTATTAAATTTTGAATTTCTATTCTTTTAGCTTCTCTCTTTGATTCCTCATCGGGTAAGCTAGGAGTTGGTGTTATTTCTTCTTTATCGCCAGGTATTAGAAGCGAATTTGGAGGGCTGAGTGTTTTTTCGAAGTTTGTGTGTACGGCTGCAGGTGCTGTTGTGGGTATTTCGTGGTATTTTATCTCCACGGGGCATAATTTGAGGTGCGATGTCGCTTTTCTGTCATTCACCTGAGAATTCAGAAGGTTTATTTTTTTTTCTAATAGTACCTACTATATTTATATAATCTATTCGATCTTCTATAAGATGCTCTAATTCATATTAATAATACTATGTTAATATAAATAAACTGTTTTGAATCAATGTTTGAATATAAAAAAGGAATTAGATTTCTTGCTTTACGGATGAAGTGTGAAAGAATGTTTTGTCGCATATCTATATTATTTACAAAAAATATTAAATATAGAAAATATCAGAAAAGTGTAAAAAATAATTTAAAAAATCTCTAGATAACTTACATAACTGCGAAAAAATATTAAAAATTCATAAAATTGGGAATCGAAGAAATATTAAAATATTTAATAAAAGTTGTCTGTTAATCTGTCAATTAATTTAAAGAATCTTCTCTAACATTTTTATTTCGATATTACCCAAAAGTAAAAGTTATAGAGATCATAACTAGTAATAAGATGGTCATTATTAAGCGATTTACCTCACTCAACCCATTTCTATTATTTGGTTTCGAAGATCGTCTGGGTCGTAATTCGGAATGATTTGATTTATGTCGTACTCGATAGGCTGAATCCTTATCTAAGTAAACATATTGAGGTTCTGGATAATGCCTTGTCGAATGCAAGGATTTTCTACTTTCCTTATAAGGTGTCTTTTCTCTTCTGTACACAGTAGTAGAATGATCTCTAACATCATTATAGATAGATTTTTCTGGATAATAGCAGTTAACAGTCGTGGAACTTTTCGTTAGAGCTCTTCCATGGGGAACTTGACGAACTGGTGTCTTTTCAGGAACTTTACTCTTTTTATATATCTTGTCCAAAACTGAGGAGTATTTATCTTCTAGTCTAGTAATGGTATGTCCGAAGTTGGGAACAACAGTAGTGCTTTTACTATTAGATAAAGGAACAAAACCTCTTGATGAAGTGGAATTTGATAGAGAGTTTGTTGACGGAGTTGAAAAGTTATCGTTAGGAAGTTGTCGTTCTACTGTAGTAGATAGTCCACGCACCCTGGTGGTTAATTTTTGAAATAAGCTGGAGCATGAATCACTGAGTAGTTGCGCGACGTTACTTGTGGTCGACGAACGGGTATAACGAGGTCTGTGCAAGTGGGTGGGAGTACTGCTGGGGTTGGATGAGGTATCAAAGGGTTTGTAGCTAACAGTCGATTTTATAGGCATGCCAGATGTATGGTACACCCATGGAGACTGCACGTAGCTACTCCTTAAGTCCTCGGCCCGTCTAACCTTTTCACGAACACTATCCCTATTCGGGCGGTAGTGATTATAAGAATAACCAGAGCTGTACATTGGGGTTGATCATTCTTCGCGACCGTAAACTAGGATCACATCAACATGCTAACTTTATTTGTCACAACACACATCACCTGAAAACTAACATCGCACATTCGCGTAAGTGCGGCGGGACCCACTCCGCTGAAAACTGCTAAACTAAAAATATCTTCAATATACGCTAACAGAGAATGTTTCTATTCTTGGTGCGCACTCATTTTTCGGGCCTAAATTTTGTCCCCTGTCATCGGACAATAGTTAAGAAAAATATCGCTCGCGAACGGCTAATTACTAAACATAACTTTAATTAGTAACAAATATTTAATTTTCTATTAGATACCTATTACGGTGATCAAAAGCGTAAATGAGCGGTGGAAATAAAACTTTTATTCCTATACATATTTTAATACATTTATATACTTTATTTTGTTTTTAGTATGGGTACAGGCACATATCAATAATTGGGCTAAATATTATACTATCATATATTTTTTACTTTTTACTTTCCTATCTGTATACAGATAAGGAAAGTATAGGAATCATGATTTTTTTCGACCTCCAGTTTTCGACGGATTTTTACGTTTTGGGGTCCCCTGAATCCGTTTTGACTATTTTCGGGATGATGTGTCTGTGTATCAGTGTGTGTGTCTGTATATATCTATGGTCTGTATCCACCATAACTCATGAACCGATAGAAAGAAAAACACCAAATTTTAAACATAAGCTTTATTCCGGTGTCCAATGAACTGATTAGATTTTGGGCAGAGTTGGAACATCTGGGGGGTACTTTATTCGTGGTCATTTTTATATTTTATGGAATATATCTCTTATTTTCGCTAGGAGAAGAAAATTCTTCAAATAAAAGTTACTTACAATATTATTATAAATATTTTTTGTTCTATACAAAATTTTTATAAAATGGTTCGTATTCGAGAAATTTGACAAAATGTAAAAAAATATTTTTTATAAAAATTGTTCAAATAAAAGTTGTTTGTAATATAATTCTCTATAATTTTTATCCTATACATAATTTTTGTAAAATGGACCGTATTCGAGATATTTGAGAAAATGTGTAAATTACGAATTTTGAAAAATCTCATAACGAATAAAGGAAAAAACATTTAATTTCAAACTTAAGTTTAATCTCGGCTTGACGTGAATCGGTTAGATTTTGGACGAAGGCGGAACATCTGGGGGGGTACTTTATGGGAGGCCGTTTTTATATTTTATGGAATATATCTGTTATTTATGTTTGGAGAAGAAAATTGTTCAAATAAAAGTTACTTCTAATATTATTATCTATAATTTTTGCTTTATGTCAAAATTTCTGAACTAAAAGTTGTTTGCGATATCGATCTCTATAATTTTTATTTATACATGATTTTTCTAAAATGGACCGTAATGAAAAAATTTTAGGAAATTTAAATTTTTCAGTATTTTAGTTTTCAATGAATATCTATAGAAAAATGTTTCGAGGTAGATGTATGTGGATAATGTATATTATTATATTTAGTTTATGCTCTAAATATTTATAGAGATGCTGCAATAGGTTGTACAAAATAACCGGAAGAAGCCTATAATAACTAGATAGGAATGTCATGTGTTGGACATAATTTATCAATTTCTACAAGTATAATTTCTAATAAAATTGCAAAATAGGAGTGAGTATAATACATGGATAAATATATAAAAGTTTACAGAAAAAAGCAAAGAAATAAATGATAGTTTAAACAACATGACAAAACAGAACTTTTTAATAATTATAAAAACTACAGAAACCAACTAAATAGAATTATAGTGACTGTCAAAAGTTTTAAAACAGGCGGCGAATGAAAATACTAGTAAAACAGAAGAAATAAATATTGTCAATCATGAAACTAATGATACCTTTTGTACCAAAGATATGGCCAATTTTTGTAATAAATATTATACAGAAGTCGACATAATATATTTAGCATAAAAAATTGATAAAATAAATTATCCAGAAATAAAAGAATGAATGTTTTTAAAACGGTCGACAGAAATTAAATTATCTCTCTTATCAAATCCAAGAAAATAGTTCTCCTGGAATTGATCACATAACATAAAAATTAATAAACAAATATCACAACCAGGGCAGACGAGAGGGGGGGTAGCGGGGACAAATTCCCGGAGCCCGGGCTGAAGTGGGGGTCCGACAGCGGCATAAGGGGGGCCCAGCACTGTAGTGACGTCGTTTTTTTTTTTTCGAGAGAGAAAGAGAGAGGATGAGGCTGAGGACGAGGACGAGGACGAGGACGAGGACGAGGACGAGGACGAGGACGAGGACGAGGACGAGGACGAGGACGAGGACGAGGACGAGGACGAGGACGAGGACGAGGACGAGGACGAGGACGAGGACGAGGACGAGGACGTGGACGAGGACGAGGACGAGGACGAGGACGAGGACGAGGACGAGGACGAGGACGAGGACGAGGACGAGGACGAGGACGAGGACGAGGACGAGGACGAGGACGAGGACGAGGACGAGGACGAGGACGAGGACGAGGACGAGGACGAGGACGAGGACGAGGACGAGGACGAGGACGAGGACGAGGACGAGGACGAGGACGAGGACGAGGACGAGGACGAGGACGAGGACGAGGACGAGGACGAGGACGAGGACGAGGACGAGGACGAGGACGAGGACGAGGACGAGGACGAGGACGAGGACGAGGACGAGGACGAGGACGAGGACGAGGACGAGGACGAGGACGAGGACGAGGACGAGGACGAGGACGAGGACGAGGACGAGGACGAGGACGAGGACGAGGACGAGGACGAGGACGAGGACGAGGACGAGGACGAGGACGAGGACGAGGACGAGGACGAGGACGAGGACGAGGACGAGGACGAGGACGAGGACGAGGACGAGGACGAGGACGAGGACGAGGACGAGGACGAGGACGAGGACGAGGACGAGGACGAGGACGAGGACGAGGACGAGGACGAGGACGAGGACGAGGACGAGGACGAGGACGAGGACGAGGACGAGGACGAGGACGAGGACGATGACGAGGACGAGGACGGATGAGAAAGATATTTTAAATAAAAATAGCGTCCAAGGTGCAAGACTATGTCGCTACCCCTTAGATATACGAGAACTTTCCATTGGCACCTCCGAGCAATTACTACTAAAGGGAGTCTTCCCCCTTCCCTGCGCTAAATTTTGTAAGCAACATCTACTCCCCCGAGAGGGGAAATCCCTGTCCTGTAATTGGCTTATTTAATCAGCGTTTCCAAGTTTAACAACGCCAGTTCTGACACTTTTTGACACGTCAATTTTTTATTTGTATTTTAAAAAAATATAATTATTTATAGCGCGCGATGATAGGTCTTTATAATATATATTATACAAATCACAACGAATTACACAAAACGACATTATTAATAATTTAAGCAATAAAAAAGTTAAGTACAATTATGACAAAAGTTGATATTCTCGAAATTACTTTTTTTAAATTGTCCCAGTACCTACCTGCTAAGTATTTTTCTAGCACAATGATATTATATGAATGTGCATTGTGTGATCTTATATTTTAGGAATAACATAATATATTTTTTGCAGGTTTCTGTTAACATATAATTTTCACTTTAACTACAAAAGCCCTCATATGGGTCCTATGATTGAACGTTTATGTTATCCGTAACTTATATGTTAGGTCGAGTTTTAACAGTAACGAAGCAAGATAGTATGATGGAAAACTGCTAAATTAGAACATAACAGGCGGAAAATAACAGTAATGTGTTGGAAAAAGTTTTCCATCATACGAACTTGCCTCATTATTGTTAAAACTCGGCCTAACATGTACGTTACGGATAACATAAACATTCAATCATAGGACTCAATATTAAAAAATGGAAAAACGTCAGATTAGTTATATTCAGTGATCATCAACTGTTTAAAATCTGGTATATTTAGAAGGTATGTTATTATTTTTCTATTTGTACATGTATTAATTTATTTCATTTTATCTCTGTTTGTTGTATTTTCAAATTTGTTTTGATATTAATCTTATCAATTTCTATTTTTTTATATTTACATATATATTTTTTCAATGAACCTAACGTTTATTAGCTTATTAAATATAATGAATTCTCGTTGTTTTAATATTGCTTGCATGAACGATTACTTTTATTTCCTTTTGAAAATGAATTTCGAAGATAAAGCCGAAACGGTAAGTGAGAATAAAAAATTAGACGAAAATGATTATATTTCCTGGAGCTTTCAACTACACTTTCCTTTTTCTAGCCTATCTACACCTGAGACAGCAAGATTCGTCTTCCCTCGATCCTTACATTCTCAAGGTTTACAGAGAAGACGCCGAATCTTCTTTCACATATCCAAGCCTTCTTTGATACATTATTAGCCTTATTTGTTATCCTAATTTAAATGCATTCGTAATTGCTCTTTCTAATCTTGTGTAGATTCCGTACTCATTCTTCCTATTTTTAGTTTAGTAAGGACCGCTCTTTTATTTTTCCTTTTCCATATAGCTTTAATTCTACAATACTTGTATAATGTTATAATATGGATCCATTTTTGTGATTTATACTATTTAATTTTAATCGTAAGTGACCAACTTATTCTTACATTGTTCCTGTTAAAATAATGAAGGATTATTATATTACAGGCCTGAAGATGTCCCTGTTAGGCCGAAACTAGTCTCCTGTATTTATTTATAATTAAACTGATGTATTGGTTTTGAGGTTTTATTCTTTAATTAAAAAAATTAGACCTTTACAGACATTTTGTTTTATTTTCTGCATCAGACACACATATACATTTTAAAAATAGTAAAATTACCGATTTTTTTAGTTTTTTTTTATATTAAAAATTTTTGGACAATTGTGTATTCTTATAGAGAAACGAGATACGCCATTGAACAAGAGGGGAATTTACCTTCCCCCTTGTGCCCTCTTCTTCATATCCGCTACAGATGTTTCGTACACAACATTCGCCTACAAACTCGTTTCACGCTCCCTCTAGTAGTAATTGCTCGGAGGAACCAAACGTCAAAGTCAAAAACGCCAAACGCGTGCTAAAATAAGGTTATGTTAAATGTATTTATAAACATGGAGCTGAATGAAGATTTGAATTTTATACCTCAGTTTGTTAAAACAGATGTTACATCAATAAAAGTCGTTCAGAATGTTACATTTGTTGGTATTGGATAATATATTTCGTATTACTTCTAAATTAATAATTTATCTGTATAATTTTAGGTATTGGAGCCACACTTCACATTTTTTGCAATGAAACTTCCAAACTAATAAATAAAGTAAATATAATAGGAACTAGAGGAGAGCAAATATTCGGAATATTACCTTTTTCCCAAGATAAGGTTCTATTATTTGGTGGTAATTTTTTATTACTTTTTAGTGCAAAACAAAATTATGTTTCTGTAAAAGAAATTAATCGAGCTGTATTAACTGATTGGATCTTAGAAGCCAAACTACTAGACAATGAAAGTAAAATTGCTACTGTTTCAATGCAAAATAAAGTTCAAATATGGGATATGAATTTAAATTTAAAAAGTGTATTTGAATGCAAAGAAAGATGTATATTATACAGTGCTCATTTATGTTATGAAAATTATAAAAACTTAATTGTTCTATCTGGTACTGTATTTAATGAAATTTTAATTTGGAGACTTTCTAAAGATGATTCTGGCTATGCTCCAGTATTGAAAACATTGCAAAAGCATGAAGTTAGTAATACATTTAGTAAAACCGATTCAAATATAATTTGTTGTTTTTCTAGGGTGTTATATTTTCTATTCAGTATAACCAACAAAATGGTTTAATTTGTTCAACATCTGATGACAGATCTGCAGTTTTATGGAAAGTAGAAAAAGGAGATCTACATTCAGAATTAGATAGAGATAATATTAACATCATTCCCATTTGTCAAGTATATGGACATTTGTCAAGAGTCTTTCGATGCTTAATTTTAAATGATTGTTTTATTACTGGAGGTGAAGATTCTTTGATAAATATTTGGACTTTGGATGGAAGATTAAAAAGGAAAGTAGAAACAAATCAGGGTAGCCCAATTTGGGCTCTGAATTATGACAAAACAAATGAACTGTTAGTTGTTGGAGGTGGGAATGGAAGTGTCCATACTTTTTCTTTAAATATTGTAGTCAAAGAAAATAAAATTTGTCTTCCCAATGGAGAAAAACCAAAATTAATTAGTATTTTAGCATCGAATGATATATTAGTTTTTTCTGAAAATGGTGTTTTGTATGTCAATAAAAGAGAAATGTGGACGACAATACAAATATTTGAAGATCTAAAGAATTGTGTTATTCTAAAAGTATCAAAATGCAGGAAATTGGTTGCATTAGCAGGTAATTTTTTTTTAAATATATACTACAAATATATTGGCAGTAAGCTCCTAAAAATTAATAATAAAGAAGTACTATGGTTAAATTTTTATGGAGATGTCTGGTAACTTATTTTGCAATAGTAACTCATTCCACCTATCCCCTTTTTCAGAAAAATTTCTCCAATCGATATATAATTTATTATAATTTTCTATATCCAACTGTTAACTATCATTTTTTGGGTCGAGGGTGGCTGATGGAGTTGAAAATGACTATATATCGACGTTTTTTATACATCCTTTGCTTTTGTAGTCAAACTAAATATTGTTGCAAAGGTCGCGAAATTTACAAAAAGAAAAAATCCAGCTACCGCGTGAAAGCATTGACAAAACTTAGGCGCCCATGAGTTTCAGTTAAAGTTAGAGCATCGCATTTGATATTTTTATAAATATTTAAATTGACTGCTTTGTTTTTTATTTTTATTTATGTGAAAAATGTTCTTGTAAATCTAAATTAGAGAATAAAGTAATTAATTTTCAATAAAGCCAATAATAAGAGTTTTGTTGTTTTTAGTTGTTTATTGCAATTTAAAATTTTCTGCATCACTTGGAAATCCATAGGCAAGCATGAAATTTTTAAATTTAAAAAAATTCCAAACACAGCTTTGGTTGTGATTATTTTTTATTGAATAAAGTAATAATCATAATACATATAAGTGAGACAATTCTTAAACAAAACAGTATCAAAGAAAATATATTAATGATCACCTAGAGCAATATTCATTAATTGTATATGGTTCTAAATTAATTAACAATTCATGTACTTCCGTTTTAAATACTTAGGTGAAAAGATATCAAAGGTCTTCATTGTCTCAAGAAAAAGTTAATTCTTTAGCTCTTCTCCACATAGAAGCAAAGATAATGAACACCATAAATTATGATGATATTATGGATGATTTTGCTATTAAAAAGTGCCATAATTAGTGCCATAATTAATTGTAATTCTTATTTCTTTTTTACACTCTTTCTTAATGAAAATTATTATTTTAGACAGGTACATGGGGCGGTGGAAATAAAGTGGCCTACACTCATAAAAAATATAAATCCGGCACTGTCCCCATTATATCCCATATCTAATTCTGGATTCAAAAGTAAATCGAAATCACTTAAAAATAACTGCAATGATTTAAACTTAAGTACATTGAAATTTTGCTCTAATTTAAAAGTATTTTATTTTTATTTTCCCTCTATACCACCTACATTTTACAAAACTTAATGTTTGATTATGAATTCTCAAGTGATGCAGAACATTTTATCAAGAATAATTGAAGCCTTTGGTGCAAAACGGTGTTAACTTAAAAAGTATTGTTTCGAGAAAAATTGATTTGACTTTAAATGATTGGAACTTTTTATCCAAAGACAATTTACCTGTGCCGTATTGAAAGATGAGAATCCCACTGCTGGTGTCATTGTCATCTTTGCACTAGCTTATTTAAATTAAAATTTCTTTTGAAGAAGCAATAATGATCATTTCATTTTAGTGTAGGGTAAAGTTTTCTGTTGGTTCAGGATAAAAAATAGTATGTAAACCACGACAGTAAATAGGTTTTCCAGGCCTCGCAGTGTCCAGGCTTGGTATCGCCTGTCCATATTTTCAGTATAAATAATAATAGCAAATCTTACAATTTTAAAAAAGCAAACTTTCTGTCTTTATATAATAAGTTTTTACATACTAATTGGAATTTTTTGGAAAATATTACTGATATTAATATTGGCGTAGAAACCTTCTAAAAAAAGTTTTATGAAATACTTGATCAACATGTTCCAATTTTTTAAAATTTCAAACATAAATATCCAGTCTGGTATACTAGTGAAATCATAAAACTTATTAAACAAGAAGTTAAGTTCCATAGAAAATTTAAAGCTAGTGGAAATATTGTTTACTACCAAGAATTTAGTAGACTTCGAGTTAATATCAAACTTATGTAATCTATTTTTGAGATGGTTCCTTAACCCGAGCCGATTTCTGGGAAAGCAAAACTTCATAAACCCGGCTGTCGACAGAAAAGGGTCGTGCGGTCAATGCAGAGACAACCCAGAGTCAGTGGGACAAATATTTGGATGGGCAGATTATCCAACACTGTTGAAGAATGCAGTCGATTTCTTTTGTTAAGACTGTTATTCCATTTGTTTTAATAATTATTATTTTTGTAACAGTATTTTAATATTAATAAACTTCATACGTAAAATAAACATTTAATTATTTGTGTAGTTTACACTTATAATCAAGGAAGCATATGCATTGTATTTACAAAATATTCAGATCAAATTATCTGATGAACCAAAATAAATTCATCTCGGGTTCAGACAAAATACCTTCTTTTCTCTTAAAAGATTGCCTAATAGGATTAATATATCTCCTACAAACTCTTATTAATCTAGTCATTAAAATTTCAGTTTTTCCAGATGTTTGGAAAGTAGGTAAAATCTGTTCCATATATAAATCTCAAGATCGCGCTGCTATAAACAATTATAGGCCAATATCCATTCTTAATAACGCTGCAAAACTTTTAGAGAGGTCATCTTTTATAACCATATCTATCTACTAAAAATCTTATATTTGTATATCAACATGGATTCATGACTTCTCGTTCAACTGCTAGTAATCTGGCAGTTTTTAGTCAATATCTCTGTGAATCATTAGATAGTAGAGGACAGGTTGATGCAGTATATACCTACCGATTTCTCTAAGGCCTTCGATAAAATCAGTCACAAAATAATTCTGCAGAAGCTTTCTAGTTTAGGTTTTGATATTACTTTTGTACATCTTCTTAAATCATATTTAACTAAGCGCAAACAATATTTTTGTTATAATTCTAATTACTTTACTTCAACTAGTGGAATTCCTTAAGGGTCCAATTTAGGGCCACTATTGTTTTTAATATTCATTAACGATTAGTGTAACTCATTTGAATGCAATAGGTTAATGTTTGCAGATGACTTAAAACTATAAACCAGTATCTCTAGTACAGCTGATTGTTTAATATTGCAAAATCAAATTAACCTATTGCAGAAATGGTGTCACAGAAATCGCCTCTTTTTAAATATTTCTAAATGTAAAATTGTGACTTATAGCCGCAAACATATTTCTCTGAATTTTCCTTATTCCATTAATAAAATTATTTTGGAAAGAACAGACACTATTAAAGATTTGAGTGTTCACTTTGACTATCAAGTTACTTTTAATTGCCACATTAATCTATTGTGAATTCAGCGTACCATACATATCGTTTTATAATCCAGAATTGTAAGAATTTCAATAGTCTCTCAGCATTAACTTCCCTATATTTTAGCTTAGTTAGAACAAAATTAGAATATTCATGAATAATATACTATATACATTCATTATTCAGAAATTATTGAGAAAATTCAAAAGAAATTCTTAAAATTTTTAAGTTTTCAATTAAATGGATTTTATTGTCTAAGAGGTTGTAACTACCTAGATTTACTACATCAATTTGATTTTGTATCATTAGAAATCAAGCATCTATTTTCTTTTTGCATAAATTGTTAAATGGTGAAATTGACTGTGCTCTCTCAAATAAATTTTTTTGTACCTAGGATAACATCTAGATATAATATTACATTTCTAAGTAAATGAACTCAAACTAATTTATTATCAAAAGCGCCAATTACCTTAATATGTAGTAATGCAAACAAACTATCAGATATTTGTGATATTTTCAGTTACAGTATATGCGAATTAAAAAACAAATCAAGAAATTATCTTTGAATTTATATTAATTTTTTACTATTTTCTACTTTTTACTTTAATTGTAATTTATTTACTTATCTTATGTATTTTCTTAGTTTAATTTTTATTGTTAAATTTACCTTATAAATGGGAAACTGTTGGGCAATAGATGCTTTTATTATTTTATTATTATTTACGCGGCCTGGAAAACAGTGACGTTACTGCCTAGGTATACAATATACTATTCCTTAACATTGTTAATTAAATTATTTATCATTTAGGCTAAATTAAATACTGCATATACAATATTTTTTAGGTTTCAGAGGACAGATGTACATTTATAAAGAAAATGATAAATCTTTACAAAAAGTTTGCACATTCCAAGCAAAAAACGCTACAAGAATAATATCCTGCCATTGGCTATCCTGTGATTTACTTTTAATATGCCAAGACGAAGGAAAACTTACTTTATTGCATTTACAACAGTCCAACATAAGACCAATAACATCATTTATTTTGCCACAAAGTTCTCAAAGGAGTACAACCTCTGCTATTATTTTAGATAAAAATATTATAGTAGGTGATAGAAAAGGAAGCATTCATTTGTATAAAATTGGTGAATCCAAACCTGTCCAATCTTTACCAAAAGCACATAGTCATTTGGGTGTTACTAACTTACTTTTAGATCATCATAATTTAATTTCTTTAGGTAGAAATAGTGTTATTAAAACGTTTTCAAAAAATGAAAACAAATTAACATTGATTTCTTCGGATAAAGTAGCTTACAGCTGGTTATTAGATATTATCGACGATTTACTTATAGCGTTTTGTGGTGATAACTTTATTATTTGGAATTATAAAACAAAAAAAGCTTTACTAGAAAAATTTTGTGGAGGTGGACATAGATCTTGGGATTTTTTCAAGCAAGAACATATCATTAGCTTCATATATATTAAGGATAAATTTATTAATAAATTTGAGTATGACCTGCATATTAATAAATCGTATGATTTGATCGAACCTTTTCATCTAAAGGAAGTCAACTGTATGAAGATTATTAAAACATCGAATCAATACATATTAATATCTGGTGGAGAAGATACTACTCTCCGTGTAACATCAGTGAATAAAAATTTAAATAGTTTTAAAAACCTAATTACTTTAAAATCGCATTTATCCAGTATAAGGTGTATCACTATCTATAAATTAGGATTTAAAGATGATACAAATACCTATTTAATTTTTTCTGCAGGTGGTAGGGCACAAATTGTATGCTGGACATTGGAATATTTGTCAAAAAATCCTGAAAAAGACTTATTATGCAGAGAAAACCATTCTTACTACGAAGTCATTGATAATGAACAGTCAGAAACTAGAATAATGGATTTATGTGCAATTGAGGTACAAGAAAAAATAATATTATTTGCAGCTTGTTCTGACGGTCACATTAAAATTTTCTTTGTAGAAAAAAATGATGTATTTAATTTAAAATTACACGCGACTATTTTTTATAAAATGAAATGCATTTTTAAAGTATGTAATATTTTTGTTTGCGATAAAAATATTTTGGTAACTTTAGCAAGTGATGGTTATTTAGTATTTTGGGATATCGAGGATATATTTTTAGATCAAAATGTAAAACCATTTGGTGCAATCTCTGTACATCAATCTGGGATTAATACTTGCTCAAACTTACAAATAAGTTCGACTTCATTTTTATTTTTAAGTGCTGGAGATGACAACACTATAGTATTAAATTATTTGAATTTTAAAATCGATCAAATTCTTCGAGTAGAAGTTATAGATACATTTGTAAACGCTAGTGCACATTGGGCCCAAATTACTGGTTCTTCCATTAAAACTGATTATTTTTTAACAGCTTCTGTTGACCAAAGACTGATTTTATACAAATGGGAGATTTTAAATGAAACAATAATTTGTAATGCTGTTACAAAATACAATTCGCCTGTTGCAGATTTAAAAGGACTCCTGTGTTTTACGGAAACAGATTTTGATGTTTTTATATACGGATTAGGGATAGAAATATTAAAAATTAAAAATAAATAATGCTAAAAAAAAACATTTTCTTTTATTTCACAAACTACATCGTAATATAACAGCAACGAAATGATTATTCAATTCTTCCTTAAAATAAATGAAAACTAATTCGAAATCAGACGATTAAAAACATAAACATTTATTCAGAATTTAGCATTTAAACGTACTAATAAAAAAAACTAAACATTTTTAAAATTAACGAAACGAAAAGTTAACTTTTAAACCTTTTATACTTTACATTTTTTGTTGCCATATTTGTAAAAACGTTCTTTGAACGTTTAAGCTTAGGCGAAATGGATTTTAAAAATTTGAAATTAAATATTAATCTTTTCAGGCTGAAATTAGAAATACTGTCCTCTTCATTTTCTTCCACATTATCATTTCTACCATTAAGGCTATAATAAAGTTCTTCATCGGAACTACAGAAACTTAGATACATAGAAGTATGCAAATCCTTATTTTGTTTGTCATCACTCTTGTTTGATTTTTGGCTTTCATTATTGTTCAATTTTTGTGAGGAATTACCGAAAGATATGTGATCAGTTTTGATACTTCCAGAACTAAAAGTTGACTCTATTGGCGACGATGAAGCAGACCTGTCTAGAAAAAATAAATATTCAATTCAAATTCCAAATTGAAATTTCACCTCGTATGATCTGTATAAAAAACCCCCGTGCTTTTCTTATGCAAGCCACATTCAGTACGTCAATGTATTTTAAATTGTGTTCCCTGTTTGGCTAAATAATAAAATGTGATTAAATGAGTTTAAATCTAACAACTACCGACATACAACTATGTTACAGAATAGGTAAAAAAAATGAAAATGAAAAATCTAGAGGAATTTTTCTTAAACTAAATATGAAACTAGACAAAATATATACACCAAAACAAAAGCTTTTAAAAGGTACAGGCATAGTAATTAGAGAAGACCTAACAAGTCTCAGAGTTGAAATTCTGAATCAATCGCAAAATTTGGATTAAAGCAAGTATGGACGAACGTAGGAAAAATATACATAAACACAAAAAACAAAGTTTGGATCGTAAGAAATAAGCGAGCTATAGAAGAAATTGATCAGCATCTATCCTAAAATGAAGAAAAACTTGTTCTTGTTTACTGAATTCATTTCCTTATTATTTCTATATTATATATATTTTTTTATTCTAAAATGTTTATCATCTGCTATATTTTCATCAAATTTTAAATTGTATTTGCATTTTTTTTTTTGATTGGGAGTTTTCTTTTCTTATTTCATAGTTGAAATTGTAGATACCTATGCTCGAATTGATTGAAGCTTTAGATAATAGTCAAACAATAGAGACTCTTGCTGCGTTTGAGAATCCACATCGGATGCATCTGAGATGTAAAAAATCTTTGATCACGTGATGCAGTATACGTAAATGTAATGGGACAGATGTGTCCGATGTGGATAAAAAAACGCTCGAGATGTAAAAAATGCATCCGATGTGGATTCTCAAACGCAGCAAATAGAGGCTAATGGCCGTAGTAGTCGACGCCGATGACACCAAATTAAAAAAAAATAGAGACAATAATATGTGATACTTTTAATAACTATTTTCAAGAGAGGTCAGATGGCGGTGGGCACAGTTTTGGTATTATCCATTTTAATATTAGAAGTTTCAGAAAGCACTTACATGAACTTTTATTATATATTCAAATGGCTAATGAGGCTTTGGACATAATAGTCCTTTCTGAGACAGGGATAATCGATTCGTTAAGCAATTTTTCAATACCTAATTTTACACAAATCATAACAAATCAACAATTAATAAATGTGATGGGGTAATGATATATATAAAAAATAGTATATCAGCTGATGTGATAGTTATACCTATAAATAATAGCAACTTTTTGAGGGTTACATCTACAATGAATAAAAATAATAATCATAAAATTGGTTAAACTGCATACTATAAATCTCCTGCTATTACCAAAATAAATTTTATAAATGATTTAGAAATATATTTATCTCAAATGGATAAACAAAGTATCTAAATTTATTTGGGGGATATAAACATCAATTTATTAAATACTGAAAGAAACGATACAAACACGTAATTAAATATATTAGGCTTAAATGGATTTTTGTCTTATATAAATAAACCCACTCGAGTTACCAAAGATTCCAAAACTGCGCTTGACCACATTTTTATTATAATAGAAAAATGTCTGAAAAACAAAATGTCCATTTCACCTGTAATATTTCAAACCGACATACATTGCGTTCGGTCTGTCAAGTTCCTTTAACTCCTTTAACACTTTTAACTCCAAACGACCCTTTTAGCGTTCGGTTTAGTCCGATTAGTGACAGTTTAACACGCTTAAATGTCATTTAAAAGCACCCTTAAATTTGTCCCGCTCCAGCCCCCGACTATCCGAACTCGCCTATAACAGACAATTTTACTCCTTTTGTGGATATAAATTTTCTTTTAAATAATGAAAAAACTAATTTGACAAATGAACAAAAATTTTAAAAAATCGACTACAATAAATTAAATTATGTACTCTCAATTGAGAATGTTCTATTAGAAAACAACCCTCATGAATGTTACAACACATTTATTGATAAACTTTTAAACTATATAACGTCATCAACAAGCGATTACTATAGGTCTTGTCAACTCTATAAATAAACGAGATAAATTTAAAAAGAAACTACTTAAAACTTATTTAACAGAACTAGAAGAATATAAAAAATACAGAAATAAGATTAACTCTCTATTAAAATTTATAAAAAAAAAAAACAATATTATAAAAATCAAATAAATGGAGCAGGGTCAAATTATAAAAAAATCTGGAATATAATAAACGATATAAGTGAAGAAAAGGAAAAGTGTTGAACACAATAATATAACAATTACAACTATAATAAGTGATCAGAATACCTAAAACAAATTTACCAGAAAACTTTGTGCTAATGAAATTAAACATTCAATCTTCCTTAAACCCGTGGCAAAAACAGAATTGGTGATAATTATTTCAATATTAAAAAATAATTTCCAGATAAAATAACGACAAAAACCGTAAAAACTATACATACCTATATATTAGAACCGTTAATACACATTATAAACATGTGTTTTCTAACTGGTCTGGTACCTCACCAATGAAAAGTTTCATATGTCACTCCTATCTTTAAATCAGGTAAAAGTAAATAACTAATAACTACACGCCTATATCTGTCATAAATAAGTTTGCTAATATATTTGAACAGTGCATTAAGAAAAGACTCGTTGAATTCTGGGACAAGCACCATGTAATTACTGATAGGCAATTTGGCTTTGTAAAAAAACTCTAATATCGAGAACGCCATAATGGATTTTGTTAATACTACTGTGAGAGCCTTGGACAGTTCAACAAAATGCTTGACAGTATTTTTGGATCTGGCCAAGGCATTCGCACAGTGAATCATAAACTGCTGATAAAAAAACCAAATAATTATGGTATTGGAGGTATTGCTTCAGACCTAATGGAAAACTATCTAACATAAAGAATGCAACGAGTCAAAATTGGCCAAGAAATGAGCTCAGATTTAGTAGTACAAACCGGAATACCCCAAGGTACTGTTTTAGGACCAATATTGTTTCTCATATACATAAACAACTTTAAAGGTCATATTATATATGTTATGCAGATGATACTGCACTTATCTTTACTGGTTCCACAAAACAAACCCTTAAATTTAGTATGAGGAAGTCACAAATTTATATAACACACCGTTCATATATTTGCAGGGTTTCCGGATAGATTTAATTGAAATTATGCTTACATGTGTTTTGTATAGTTTCTTACAAAAATAAAATTGATTAATAAGGGGTGGGTGGCTCAGTGGTAAAGTCTCTGCCTGCGGATTCAAGGGTCCCAGGTTCAAATCCCACTGTTGGTCGGGATTTTGTTATTTAATTTAATTATTTAAAATTAATTCTGATGCCTTGGTAGGATTCCCCACTCGACCATTCACTGTTGGGTTCTAATTAACAGTGCTGTTTCTAAAGTGGCGCAAGGAAACAGTAACAAGACCTGTCTGTAGGGGTGTAGGAGTATTAGAGTACTAATACTCCTGCACTTTGGAGTATTAGACTACTAGTACAATCCATAACCTACATAGAACACGAGGCTAATGACCTTTAGATGTTGAAGCCAGACACCAATAAAAAAAAATTAATTAGCATTGAGAATTTCGAACTTTTGGTATTCACCATTATGCGATATTTTTATGTACGACTGTCGCGAGTGAACTACCTTAACATAACACAGTTAAAATAGCAATTTCAAATAAGGAATCAATTTTCAGAGGATAGATCTCAACCATAAAATCGAATACTTCCTTAAAATCATAAAATGCCTGGCCTACAAGTGCCCGTTTAACCATAAATTTTAATTTTTAGTTTGTCCATAACAAAGGAAGAGTGTTGCATATATCACAGTAATAAAATTCTTTTTGTCTAGCAGTACTCTCCCGATTCATTTTTGTCAGTAAAATCAGGTTTTTGTTTTTCGTGTTGTAGTTGTGTATCGTTGATCCAGTGGTATATTTATGTTTATTTTTATGCACAAAAATGTATAAACAAGGTATTGTGAGAATCTCTAATTCAATAAAATTAGCTTTGACCATATCCCTTAATATTTTCTTTTGATACACAAAGACATCATAGTACTCTATATTGTTAATGACTGAATCAAACCAAAATATACAATTCTAAGAATTTCTTTCGTTACTAGACACTAAAGAAGACACGCATTCGTGACAGCTTTGTACAAAGTTCGTCATATGAATTCTCCAATTTAAGGTATTATCAATGTTAAAACCTAGTAGTTTTTCACTTTGTTCTCCTTCTGCACTTTCAGTTCTTTTAGTAAAGTTCTTTGGCTTTTATCTTTATTTAGACACAAAACGTTTGAAATATTGTTCACTTTTTTCATGTACCTCAACTGACATCCCATCTAGCATATTAGTGTCTTTGCTATTCACCAAATATGTTGTGTCATCTACATATATAAATGTATGCTACATCAACATAGGAAGGTAGGTCATTCATATATAAAATAAATAGGAAATGGCCTAAAACAGATCCCTGGGAACCCCATGTCTAACCTCCTTTACATCAGACTTTAAACTGTTTTCTATTATTTAAAAATGATTTCACTAAATTCGGTATCCTCTTATTACATACTTTTACAGCTTACACTATCAAATGCTTTTGAAAGGTCGCACAGCATAAGCCACATAGAAATTCCTAAATCTTTATTTTTTTACAATAGTGTGTACAACATGTGTTACTACCTGTGTTGTGGTCCGCAGTGATCTGAACCTATACTGTCTCTCACTGAGAAGTTTTTTCCCGTCTATAAATTCAATTTAATATTATTTTTATAATTTTTGATAAAATGGGAGTACCTAATGGTAACAAATCTATAGTTATTACAAACATTTAAATTACCCTGTTTAAGAATGGGTGTAGCTCTACAAAGTTTTCGAGTATCTGGGAAGCAAATATTTATCAGATGTATCATGGGCTTACTAAGAATATCCCCTATACTTTTAACTAATATGGAACTAGTGTTGTATGGTTCCATACTTTTTTAGTTTTTTAATGAAGCTATTACCTACAAACATTTCTTTTTCATTTGTTGGTCGCCGAAAAACAAAATCTCTGAGAGATACTTTTATCAATTCTGTTCCATAATTGCTTGTTGTTGAAATAATGGGAATCAGATCATCAATCACCGATGTTGAAATGTTATTTAAATCATTTTTTGTTAACGTACTATTTTTCGAGACCTCCTCTGATTTAATATTAAAATGATTTATTATAGACCAAGTGGTTTTACTTATATTATCGCTCTTTAATAACATTATTGTAAGAACTAGTTTTGGCTTTCTTTATTGATTTTTGTATTTATTTTTCATAAAATTGAATTCTACTTTGTGCAATTTATTTCCTGTACATAGTCTTTTCTTTCTATTTAAATCGATTCTCATTTTATTAAGTCTATCAACAAACCAGTTTATCTTATTTTCTTTTTTATATTTTTTTAATGGGAGTGCTACCTCTACTGCATACTATATTTCATCACATAGACATTTTGCTAATTTTGATCAGTTGAGATAAAGTAATCTATAAATTTATTTTGCTGTTTATGAATTTAAATTCTGTCTTTCCTAAATTTGTTATTGGTTTATAGTAACTGTCTGTTTTAACAGTACCTAGTATATTTACCTTAATTTTTATGTATATTCCGTAATGATTTGATATGTCACCTTTTACAACATTTGATTCCAAATAGTTTTCAAAATTTATAAAAATATTGTCAATACAAGTTGCTGATGGATCGATCAGTAACTCTAGTAGGTTTTTCTATTATGTACTTAAAAATATATGAGGTGGAATTATTGATAAGTTTTTCTTTTCTTTGGACTTAAAAAATCTACATTAAAGTCACCTAGTATAACAACATATTCAGGTGAAACTATTGAACAAAATCATAACTAAGAAATAAAAAATGATATGAAATTGATATTTTGAAGAAAAATCATAAGCTTTATAAGGGAATGCAGTCTATAGATTCAGAAAAAAAAATTGATTGAAAATGGGGGTTAGGGGATGGGACTGTTAAACTGTGAAGAGTAAAATATAGAATGCCAAGCATTATATATCTTCATTCTAATTTTTTCTGCGACCAACTGACAAATTTAAAACCAGTTGACTATGGAAGTTTAATCTGGATAGAGATTCTGTGTTTGAACTTTAAAAAATTGCATACTACAATTGTGTATTTTTTTAAAATTAATTTTTCTTTGAACGTTATGGAACTTTTTTATACTATTCTGTAAACAATAAATATTGTTCAAAATCTTGACTTACAGAGGGTGGTGTACAATTATGCAAGACATTTTTTTTTTAATTTTGTGTAATGATTATTAGTATGTTAGCAATTGTTGCATTGAAAGACTAATTGATCAAATATACAAGTTCAGAAACGTTACTACCCTGTCCTTATTCTCTGGCTATTAGTAATTATTTTAAAATAGTAGGTAGGTATCTAATAGCATTTATGATTCCTAATTGATACTGGATGTGTATAAGAGAATTTGGCAGAATATGGGAAGCTAAATTAGATAAAATACAATTACGACAGTCAAGAAAAAGAAGGAATACTAAAGCATCGATATGCCTTATAGCTTTTGCTTGGGTATAAATGTAACACAAAAAGCAATAAACAAAAAATTAAGGAAATATTCTGTAAAAAAGTTAGATAAGTAAAAACATATATACTAACATTCTAATGCTGAAGAATAACTTTCATCATAATTGTAATTTTCAACCTTTTTTACGGTTCTTTGTATCTCTGCCATGACATCATTCCATTTAAGATTTTGTTCATTTGTATTAGTATTATCAACGTTACATTCTTCATAAATACTTTGAAATTTAGAATTTCCTTCGTCAGATTCTTCAGGCTCAATTTGAATTTGAAGATTTTCATCTTGTTTATTTGAATCCAATTTTTTATCATTTTTCTTTCCACTATTTTCCTCATCTTCAGTTATATCACATAAACTACTTACAAAAGATGTTAATTTCCGCAGTTTTAAAGAAGAATTAATATTTTTAAAAAAAATGTGTTGCTCTGTAGGGGTACTTATATTTGATATGTCAATATCTTCAAATATTACACTACAGTCTGCAGATCCTGGTAATTCTTTTTGAGTCATTGTATTTACTGAAGAATTTAGTGTTTCTTCATTAGTTGAATCTGTTTGACATTCAGCATCTTTTAAATATTTTACTATTACAGATGATGACGGCATATTTTTATTAAACCAAAACATATCTGGTAGGTTAGTGATATGAGAATGTATTTGACTAGGTTTTTCTGATTTTGTTCTAGTATAATAATTGTTAAGAGAAAATGATGGAATGTATTCAGTTTTTAAATATTCAATAATGTAAAACCACTTTTTTACCAAATAACTCATCAATGGAAACATATCAACATCCTAAAAAATAATGTATTACAATTAGTCATTTTTTACGTTAAAATTTAACTTACAGCCACCCTATGGCCTGGTGTAAAAGGTCTAATAAATACTGCATCACAGTAATATCTAAGAAGACTTTGTAAAATATTTTCGCTAGATTTTTCTTTGGAAACTTCTCTTATAAAAACAACTACAGTATTCAACATCAAAATGTGTTCTTTAGGCAGATTGTTTAGGGATCTACAAACATGAATAAATTGCAGTATCTTAGAAGGTAAGCAAAACATGAATGACGATATTTACTTTGCAATGGAGTAATTAAAAAAATTAAATTCTTTTCGATTTCTAAACTTATTAGTTCTTAACAAATTTCTACATTTTCTGGACAGCTCTTCCCAATTATATCTATGTGTACTAGTAATTTTTGGAATTAGAGGAATTGGCAGAAGTCCTAAAAAGTGACGAATAATCCAAAAGTAGGCACCAACAGGATTGAACAAATTTATACCAGGTTGTTTATCATAAATAATACTTTGTTTTAATTCAAGACATTCCTGTAAACACAATCGTTCACTAAAAAAAGAAATATAGGTATATATTATTCAAAACATATATGCTCATCTTTTATAATAAACTTACTTTAAAATGTCTTGAATACTTAAATGACTTTCCTCATAAAGGCCAAGTGCTTTTTGAAAAATAAACTAAAATGAAATACAAACATTAAAAAGTGTAAAAAGTATTTTTTTAATGTAGTATTTGTCACATTTGAACATTTTTCTAACACATAATTTAAAAAAAAGTACAATTACCTTTAATCTGGGGTGAATATCATCAGGAGGAAAAATATCTTCTAGAGGCACTCCAAAGTCAAACCTATTAATAAAAAAACTTTGTAACAAATTAGTATGCTATGAATAGAACTAAAAATTACCGTTTACTACTTTTAACACAGTTTAATTCCACTGTCATATTGAAATACATTCCAATTACCTAATTCAAAATTAAAAATAAAACCGCAAAACGCGCAAAACTTTCAAATCAAAACATGTCAATTATCAGTTGCAGGATTGCAACTCATACAACATCGAGAATATAAACACAGAACAATGTTTTTGTTTTTAGGCAATTTTTCAGAATATTTTATATCGGCAAAATATTGCAAGGTCAAGTAGTGGTATCTACACACATGCAAGTTCAAAGAAATCGTTAATAAAATAACGATTACGTTTTGAACTATTTTTTTTACTCATGGAAGAATGTTCAAATTAGGCATTTTAACGACCTGTCAAACTGCTGACAAGTGGGAACTGACATTTAGATATGGCAACCCTGTGAGCCTGTCTTTCATTGCGTTCGGTTTGCCACGTTCCTTTAACTCCTTTAACACTTTTAACTCCAAACGACTCTTTTAGCGTTCGGTTTAGTCCGATTAGTGACAGTTTAACACGCTTAAATGTCATTTAAAAGCACCCTAAAATTTGTCCCGCTCCAGCCCCTGACTGACCGAACTCGCCTTTTGACAGGGTCAATGATTACATATATACAGGGCCGGATTAAGCACCAGCGGCGCCCCTGGACAAAACTTTTAAAGCGTCCCTTCCCAACAATTAATTTTTCAATCTATTATTAAGGTATAAACATGATCAAAAAAATTTTTCAGTGCATTTATTTTGAAAGAATATTAACATAACAAAAAATAACATTACAAACATTTCAAGATAAAAAATCAATAAAACAAAAACTTCGAATCCCATTTCCTTTTTATTAAAGTGTCTTTCTTAATTTGCTTGAAATAAAAAGCGATATAATATCGTCTTCATCTAGAGAGTCAACAAGTTCACTCTCAATGCACAATAAAGCTAAATTGCTGGTCTTCGAATCAGATAAACTATTTCTTAAATAGTTCTTGACTCTACGCTTCCTCTTTTAACTCATAAATACGTTGTAAAAATTTTCCATGCGATAAACATTTGGCCTCGCAATAAAATAGCAACGTCGAATGTTCTGCATCCATCTTTGCAAAGTGCATTAAATAAGGGACTTGATTTTAGGGGCCTCATTTTTATATAATTTACTACAGTTACAATGTTGAGACCAGGACTCATTTCTGTGGAAGGCAGCGCCTCTCTGTGGATCATGCAATGGGTCCAGACACATTGCGGGTATTTTTATTTCACAAGTGCTTGTGCACTTTGGAATCTTCCAGACATTGAACGGGTACCATCGGTGCTTATTCCAACGCAATTATTCCACTCTATGTTTGCCTCATTAATAAAATAATTTAAAATATCAAACAAAGCGAGTGCTGTTGCTTTGAGTTCTATAGGTTTGCAGAAAAGTAGTTTTTCTACTGCCGATATACTATCACAAAATTGGACATAGGCAATTAAATGAGCTCTATAGGCCTAGTATCTAGGGTCTAGGGCACTAGCAACACTGTAGGAAATTTGAAAAATGCTCAATATGTAAAAACGAATACAGCTAAAACATTGAAATTAGAACTATTAAAAAGAGAATAAAATATTGTACAATATACCAGTAAGCCGCGAGAATGTTTGATATCCGTCGTAAATGACGGAGAGCAGATGAGAAACATCGATTCTGGCTTTACGCGCTTTACCTATATAGGATGTAGCGGAGCGTCATTGCCAAGTTTCAATAAATTCTCCTATTCTCAGTAATTTTAAAGATCTGTAATAAGTTCTATATTAGGGCTCTATAGGCCTAGGGTCTAGGGCACTAACAATACTGCACTAAGGAAATTTGGAAAATACTCAATATGTAAAAACGAATACAGATAAAACATTGAAACTAGAACTATCAAAAAGAGAATAAAATTTTGTTATTGTTAACATTTATTTAGTGCATTAATAATTATTATTTTACGTACTAGTGCGTAAATAAGTTATGTTAACAACCTCAAAAATTCATATTAAATTGTTGGAAGTTATCAAATTATCTAATCCACTAGCTAGTTTATTACTTTATGATCTTTATTGTTTATGAAAAAATAATCAAGTTGTTATTTTTATTGATGAGTAAATAAAATATATTGACATTGTCAAGTTGTATAATTTATAAAAGTTAAGAATCTAATAATTCTTTGGGATCTTCTACTGAAACAAATCCATTTTTCCTTTTGATTTATTACAGATGATTAGATTTTTAGACACGATGTGGCGTAAGAGAATTTTACTTTAGTAAAATATGTATCTTAATAATAATATGTATATGTCGAGATTGTCGAGGTATATGAATTATTAGTGTGAGAAAGTGGCGCACATGAAATTCTGCACGCAGACGTCTCCCTACAGGAAACCATTGTTCACCTGACAACCACACCCTGAATTCCAATTATTATTAAATATTATCGCTAAATGGTGACGAAAAATAAGGCTTACACGAAACAAACATTAAATAAGCAGAGGACAAAAGAAATACTATTCGTCAAATTTAAACATTACCAACCTTAAAAATATGGCTAACAACAGACTATAAACTTGTCATACATCTCAGAAGGGCAGCTGCCAAAATTCTTTCAAATTTCAATCGTAGCCATTTTCACAACATTTTTATATTTAATGTATTCATTAAATTCTCTGTGAAACTACATAATGGCAATGCAAAGTTTGGTCAAAACATTTTTAAAATTTCCTTCATCGTTTTCATTCAACAAGTTATTGGGCGTCACAAAAAACAAAGTCGATGCAAAATTAGATTCATTTTTAAGTAGCACCAGCGCCCAATACATAGAAGCGATGTACAATATATGGCTTAAAGATCCTTCCAAAGTTCATCCGGTAAGAACAATGCAAGAATAGAGATATGTTTTTCTACATTTCGCTTTTTACTTTGTAGTCATGGGATGCATACTTCAGACTATCTAAGGACGGTCAAGTGGGGTACGTTTCACCACCAACACTAGGTCGTACAAGGCAGGATATGCCAATGTCTAGATTAAAAGGGGTTATTCCTACCGTTTCCAGAACCGTAGAACGTTCTAAAGCTACAGCAACAGCCGCAGCTCCAGCCCCTTGTGCACAACCCGCTCCATCAGCTGGAACTGCTACCGAAGCAGATATAGAAAAGCACTTAGCCGTTCAAACTATTATAAGAGGTTATCAAGTAAGTATTTCATCTTTTATTATAACTAAAACCATATTTGTATGAAAATTTTTTATACATATAGGTTCGAGGTCATTTCTTAGCCAAAATAGATCCCCTAGATAGACCACCATCTCATGGTATTCGTAAGAAAAAAGGGAGGTTAATACCGGATATTATATCACGATTTAAAGTAGGTAAGTATCTTTTATCAGAAACTTTAACATGATTAGATATATAATATGATTACATTTTTTTTTATAGATGAGAGTGATCTAAACAAAGTATTTAAACTACCAGCAGCGACTAGTATTGGTGGAGGCGAAAAATCCTTACCTCTAAAAGAAATTATAACCCGTTTAGAAAACGCATACTGTAGCACAATTGGATTAGAATATATGTATATTCCATCGGTAGAAGAATGTAATTGGATAAGGGATCGCTTTGAACCGCCGGGAATCACCAAAATATCTAACAATAAGAAAAAGCTTTGCTTAGCTCGTTTAGCTCGAGCTCAGTTGTAAGTATAACACAATTTCTATTAAGTACTCAAAAACTAGTACAATTAAAGTTATCTGTATGATTTCCCTGTATGACCAGTAGACAGAAAAATATAAAAAATATTCTTGCAAGTATTTGTTGTTTCTCTTTAGGTTTGAAAACTTCTGTGCTCGCAAACACTCAGCAGAAAAAAGATTTGGTATAGAAGGACTGGAATCCACTATACCAAGCCTTAAATCCATTATAGACAGATCATCGGAATTGGGTGTAGAAACGTTCGTCATTGGAATGGCCCATAGAGGTCGTCTAAACGTTTTGGTTAACGTGTGTCGCAAATCACTGATTCAAACTTTTGCTCAGTTTGAAGGATTAAAACCAGAAGATGAAGGTACCGGTGATGTCAAATACCATTTGGGAGTGTTTGTTCAAAGGTGATAAAAACTAATAGCAATACTACTTTTTTATAACATTTTTCAACTATCATTGCATTACTATTTTAGAATGAATAGAGTTACCAACAAAAATGTGAAAATTGTAGTGCTAGCTAATCCTTCTCATTTAGAATCGATATGTCCCGTAACAGTCGGTAGGGTTAGAGCAGAACAATTTTTTGGTAGCGACCCAGAAGGAAGAAAGGTAGGACATTAGGATTACTGAAAATAATATTAATTATTTATCTATTTGTTCTTCATTTAGTCGTTAGCAATTCTGCTGCATGGAGACGCCGCTTTTACTGGACAAGGTGTTAACTTTGAAGTCATTAATATAGCGTCTTTGCCATGTTATACTACCCATGGTGCGATACACCTTGTAACCAATAATCAAGTTGGTTTTACAACAGATCGAAAACTTGCAGGCTCATCTCCATATTGTACAGGTAACCACGGCGAATTTAGAATACCTACCATATTAAATACTAGCTTGTGATGGTACAAGTTGTTCTTAATATTTTCTACATCTAGTCTTAACCTAATTATAAAAGTTCAACAAATTATAAAAATATAAAATTATATACAGTATGATATGTTTGGATCCATCCAATAAATACTTATATTATTACAAGCTCGTTGAACGCTGTTTTAGATGTTGGGCGTGTTATTAATTCACCTATAATACACGTAAACGCAGATGATCCCGAGGCTGTTGTTTATGTGTCTGAAATAGCTTCCGATTGGAGGTACAAGTTCAAGAGAGATATTGTGGTCGACTTAGTCGGTTACAGAAGACATGGTCACCAAGAAGTCGATGATCCGCTTTTCACGCAACCAGTATTATATAATAAAAAAATAAAAAATATAAAACCATGTTACGAAAAATATGCAGAAAAATTGATAAAAGAAAAAATCGTGACTGCAGCAGAGGTGAAGCAAATAAAAGATGAATATGAGAAAATTCTTGAAACTGATTTTGCTAAAGTAAAAGACGAAAAGGTGTTTAAAATGAAAGATTGGCTTGATGCTCCTTGGAGTGCGTTCTTCGAGGGTAAAGATCCCAATAAAATGTTATTTCCTACTGGAATTCACGAAGACACAATCACTCACATTGCCAGTGCCGTTTCAACACCGCCGCCTCCTTCTGCCAAATTTGTCATACATAAAGGTGAATTATGCAATTTTTATTTTAAATCATTATACATATTTTTATGTTTAGTTCTTGAACGAGTTCTTAATGGACGGCAGGAATTAATGAAAAAACGTCAAATTGATTTTTCAATGGCGGAAGCTATTGCTTATGGATCGTTATTAAAACAAGGTATTCACGTCCGCATAACAGGAGAAGACGTAGAAAGAGGAACTTTCAATCACAGGCACCACGTTTATCATCATCAGAATGTAGAAAATGAAAGATATAGGTAGATATTTTGCTTTAAATTGGGTATATTTTGTCGTCCCTAAAGAAAATAGTAGTTTTTGCAACAAAAATGATATCGCTTATTTCTGAAACAATTCATGTATCATGTTATGCTTACAAAAATGTACTAAAGAAAGCTACAGGTTGGTCTTCGTTATTCTTCCTCTAGCTTCTGCCTTCTTCTTAATTACCAAACTCTACCCAATTTTTGGTGGGGTAGGATTGATGCTTTTTAAAGTAAGATACTGACACCCGTATGCATAATCGATCGCCAGGCTTTCGCCAGAGATTCATTTCGGCGTATCGCCAGCGAACCGCTGTCGAAAGCCCGAAAAGGTGGCGACTCGCTGGAAATTGTCACCGGCATGTTATCTCTTGCAAGTTTTCATGTTCTTTTATAGGGATTATCACCGGCATCTCTCGCATTTTATTCATGATTCATTTCTTAAAACTCAAAAAACAATGAACAAATATCAAATTTTTCCCTATAAAAGAACATGAAAACTTGCGTGAAATGACATGCCGATGACAATCTCCAGCGAGTCGCCAACTTTTCGCCGAAATGAATCTCTGGCGAGTCGCTGGCGATCGACTATGCATACGGCTGTGAGTCTTCTGTTACATAATGAAGATGGGTTAGCTTGTCACCACAACAATGAAAAAATAGTGCAAAAATGTGTAAGAGGATTTCCCATGAAATAATTTTTTGGCCACCCAGTGTTTTCAAAATATACCCAAAACGTTTACGCGAGCCAACTTCATTCTACCATTAAGGCAATTCGGATATCACGTGATGTTACCTTCTTTTTGATTTCTACGATGTAAATTGTAGTTAAGAGGTGATTTAGCTCAAATTGCTGATACTGCGTGGATTCATAAATTAATCAGATCAAATAAAATCAGAGTAGCTTGACCTGTTCGCGTACCAAAGTCTACTTTACGATAAAATGAAAGATACTATAATGCGGTAACAACAAAAATGTTGAGCGCCACCAAGTTTTTGAGTAACTTGGAAAACTTATCTGATTTTATATGCCCTGTTTAATTGAGTCCGTTTCTGGTACTTAAAGTTATCTGTATGAGTTCTGGCAAATAAAAGAAAGTGAGGAAATTTAATACATTTAATAAAAAAAATTAAAAAAGTGAATTTATACAATATAAATTAATAATTAATAATTAAACGTGGAAAAACTGAATTAAAATTGACTGATAGATTAAAAAAAGGAATTGAAAAAAGTTGAATATGTATTTAATAGGCATAATAGTCTCGACCATTGGCATTCTAATACGATACTTCCCTTTCGTATGTCGCCTTTACTTAGATACTTGGAGTTTGGAGCTCGGAACTTGGAGAAACTACGTTACACTGAGCTTCTTAGAGAAACTACGTAACTCGAACTTGGAGCTTAAAGCTTGGACTTTAAAGCTTGGAGTTTCTTGGTGCTTAAAGCTTCTAGGAGCAACTACGTAACTCGTAACTCGGGACTTTTTGACTTCTTGGAGCCACTACAGGTTTAGAAATAAAAAGAACCTCAGTAACAGTAAAAGTACATCTACATGCCAGTTTGGAAATCCAAAGGACTTATGCATCAACGGAACAAACATTAAAGTTACAACGTCTGAACAGAATATAAAATAAGACCAAAATAAGTTAAGAGCCATAGATTTCCGTTTTTCCAGATTGACTTGTAATTCAATTATTTAGTTGCTTCCCGCGTATATATCAAAGTATCAAAGAAAGCTTAAAAATATTATTAGGTAGAGTAGCTATAATCTATATAAAATAAAATAAAAGAGTAATAATAACAGGCATGATGGTAATAAAAAAAGCAAATGACCGATCCTTTCGGTTTTCCAACGAAATCCAGCAAAATGGTAAAATATAAGGTGAAAGAAACATTACCTGATAATTATGGAAAACTACTTATAGTGGCTAATTTATCGGCACAAACTACCACGTTGAACTCGATACACCAAAAGATCGGTTGAATCCACACGACTTGATTTTATCACGACGTGATTGCCAAAAGAAACAATAGGTTCGTGCGCAAACCGTACTTACTCTCGAGAAGGAAGCGAGCGGTTGTCGTTTAACTTGTGTTACGAGGGGTTGTGGAGAATAAATTTGAAATTAATTTAAAATTAATTTCACGTAACAGTGAGATTATCTATTGTTATCTATTGCGTTCTGAAGGCTAGCTCTATTGCAGCGAGAAAGGGTGGCGTAATCATCTTGTCGATTTCAGAATAATCGAGAATTAAAAAGCCAGAGACGGCTCTAAGCATAATGTTATAATATGTCAACAAATTATTATTAAAAGGACGTTCTTGTATCATTAATAACAGAAATATACCTATAATTGACTTTTATTTTGCAGCCCAATAACGAATTTGTATCGCGATCAAGGTGTATATACCATCTGCAACAGTAGTCTGTCGGAATACAGTATAATGGGATTTGAACATGGATATTCCATGACTAATCCGCATACATTGATAATTTGGGAAGCCCAGTTCGGAGACTTTTCAAACACGGCTCAGCCAATTATAGACCAGTTCTTGTCATGTGGAGAATCAAAATGGGGCCGACAATGTGGTATGGTGTGCCTCATGCCTCACGGACTGGAGGGTCAGGGTCCAGAACATTCGAGTGTACGACCTGAAAGATTCGCAGATATGATTTGTGAGGATCCAGAAATTATCCCAAAAGAGGACACAAAAAATTATGCTCTCGAACAACTTAGAAACATCAATTGGATCATAGTAAACTGTTCTGTGCCTTCCAATCATTTCCATGTTCTGAGAAGACAAGTTGCATTACCATTTAGGAAACCCTTAGTAATGTTGACACCGAAGGGTATCTTGCGTCACGCCGAGGCGAGAAGTTCATTTGATTTGATGTTGGAAGGTTTGTTGATATTCTTACACTAATGAAATTTTCTGAGCATATTTAGAATTAACAATCTACTGTTTTTATATAGGTACTGAATTCCAAAGATTAATACCGGAATCGGGACCTGCATGTAAGGCTCCTGATGGTGTAAAAAAAATAATATTTTGTACTGGAAAAGTGTATTACGATGCTATTAAAGCAATTAGAGACAAAAAAATGCAACCACTAATAGCCGTCAGTCGTATAGAACAGGTAAGTAGAATTATTTTCTGATTTTCTTCATTCAGCCAGTTAAAATTCTTTAACAATACTTTCGACAATGTCATTTTCTATTTTTCTCTTGTATATGGGTACTAATCTTATTATTGTTCTTATTGTGCCATACTCATAATTTGAGCGTATGCTTTCTCGCATAATATATACATAGTTTTTATCCAGCTATTATCACAATGGTCTGCCTCCAGGACTCCCAAGGTTCCAGAGTGCCGGTAGTGCAGAAGGTTTATTATGCAACCATTTGAGAATCTTACTAAATGTAACTCGCTACTTAAAATATGTACATCTACAAGTTTTCCTTTCAAGTAGTGATTTAGTCTAATACTATTAGGCACCACTTTTCTTTCTTGATGCTGGACTTGGTTATTTAGACTGTCCCGGTAGTAAAAAGTGGCATACTGAAAAATTATTTGCTATTATTTTAGATGTAGGAATATTTTGAACCTTATTCCCTTCTAACTCACAATCCAATACGCCAGAATTAGGTATGTCTTCTGAATTATATCATTATACAGTGTCTTTGAAAGTGTATTTGCATTCCCATATGAAAAAATTGCTTTATTGCTTACTGCTTACTTTATAGCTATACTGTCGTGCGAGACATATCGACCAGTACGGTCATGCTTTAGTCCCTTATCTCTGCCTTTTTTCGGCCACTACTTATCGGATTACCGAAAATATTCTAAGAAATAAGTTAACCTCCCGAAACCGACTGTAATGGGACGACTCTGGCCACTGTCGATTATTATTTTGATATATATGTGAATGTTCGATGATAATAAATTGCAAATTTTGGCGAATGTGCCATATTGTTGATGAATTTGATGAAAACATTTAGATCCTTCAGCATTTTATATAAATGGGCTGCGTTGCTGTGGAAGAGTTAGTTGAACTAAAGATATAGGTGCGCAGATCGCTATAGTAAATGTCTAAATAAATTAGTATTAAGTACAAATAAATTAGCGTATAAGTATTTAAATAAACTAAAATAAATAAACCAAAGTAACAATACACTCAAGTATAAAATGCCTGAAGGTAAATACATTTGAACCATTTGTTAATTTTTCATTTTAATCCTTTTGTATATTTTTAATTCATGAAAATTGATAATAATAGATTTGGCATCAAAAATGTGAACATAACCCAATTTTGTAATAAGGACATTGAAAATATTTTCGCAGAAATATTTTTCTCGGCCGATACATAAAGGTATTTTTCGTAGCATAAACCAACATAAAAGTTTATGATAGATTATGATATTTAGAGTTCTATATACGTCTATATACCACTATATACGTCTATATACGTCTAAACCCGTCTATATACGTCTAAACCCGTCTATATACGTCTAAACAACATAACCTATCATAAACGTTCATGCCGCGAAAAATACCTGATTGTTAATCTGATTTTTTTAGTAAAATAAATTACTTCTTAAACTGTATTTTTCAGATTGGCCCGTTTCCTTTTGATTTGGTAAAAAAAGAACTTCAGAAGTATAAACAGGCATCGATACACTGGTTACAAGAAGAACACAAAAACCAAGGTTTTTGGGATCACGTCGACCCTCGTCTCCGCAGCATCCTAAAGAGTATGGGTGATAACAGGGACGTTAGGTAACAGAAGCATACTAGTTGTGGCTACTGTGCGTATAGTTTTTGCAGAATTAATTTTAAAAAATCCTATTTTTTACAGCTACATTGGAAGAGTAGTTTCAGCTAGTCCAGCTACCGGTTATAAATACCAGTTCAAAGAGCAGCATACCAAACTTTTGGCAGATATAATCGCTCTTCATCAGCAGGAATCATCATCATGTTGAAAACAGTAATAAAATCAAAATAAAAATTAACAAAAAACTGTTGGCCTTCATAACTGTTTGGTAATTGAGTAATTGACAGTTTGTATAAAGTTAAACCGAATTTAATAAAAAAGTAAACCAAATTTAATATGTTTGAATATGTTAAGTGCAATATGTGTGTGTTTTACTCAAATTAGTAGACGCAGTTGCAGCTAAAAGATCAATATTCTAGATTTTGTGAAGAAAGCATGAAAGTTTGCACAGTCGTTTTTGAGAGTATATTCTATATAGAGGATTCTAAGACTTTTGGTTCGCAGCACCCTGATGGCTGACACGTATGAGCGAATATTGCGCATTTTTTGAAAGTGGAACAAACAATTCATAATTTTTATTTTATTTACCTTTAGAGTTACGAATCAGTCAAAAGTTGTGTAATATGATATATAATAAATATTTCATCAAGAAATTCCTAAAAGTAGAACAAAATTGCGAGGTTCTGCGGGGACGTCAAAAATAGACATTTGGCAGTAGCGCACTTAATAGGCAGATTTGACAAATTGATCTATACTTGTTTAATAGTATATCCTTGAAATCTGTCAGAAGCCGTTTACTGTCAATTGTCAATGCCAAACGAAATGTCAGTGCTGCATTGATCAATCATCAATCCACGGAAAATCAAAATTCATTCGGCAGAGTGCAAAGAGTAACGGGTAGTGGTAATATAAGTGTCTGGAATAAAATTAACAAGGTAAATCAAAGAATAATTCAGTTACTATTAACAAAAAATATTTAAGTATATTCCTTTCCTTTTGGAGTTGCAGTGATTCTTGGTTAATGTTATATAACGAATCTTGCGCTAGGTCCAGGTACCTATTTAAAAATAGAGGGAAAATGGGATTGGCTGTTTTTGAACTCTCAACTCAGTAGTTCCCTAAGGTGCGAAATTGTTTAAAATTACCGAATTTTAAAATATTCAAGAAGCACTTTTATTTTATGTAACATATTGCGCATTTTAATTAAGAATGCTTTTACTTCTATTTCTGACATCTGCCAAAATTTTAAGGTAATTTTAGCTCACACGTGACATTTAGTATAGTCCGTTACCTTAGATTAAATTAATACACTCTAATCGAAAATGTATCGTAAATAAACAAATATTTGGTCAATTTTTATATTTAAAAATCACATGATAACTGAAAATTTGATAAAAATTAGTAACGCCTACTCCTGTAAAATTCCATGAAAAATAACATTTAAATTTTTCTTTTATATGTGCTAGTCAATAATGTAAAACATGATAAATACATACAGTACTTAACAGGGTATTGTAAACAGATCTAGCAGAAGAGTTTATGCAGATTCTGTCAGGAAAGCGAAGGTATTTTAGACTTAGAGAATAAAAATCATGTGCAAATAAATGCACTGTATAGACTTCTGTTGACCAGAATTATTTATCATGTGTAGATATAATTAACTAAAAACATGTATTTTTTTTTTAATGGCACATACAGCTTTAAAAGTTTTTGAAATACTAAAACCCTGGACATTCAAAACATCTTTTAATTTATTTTTAAGGTTTAGTCATTATACCTGGCATATTTTATTACTGAATAGAAAAATATTGTCCGGCATTTTTTAAATACTTCAGTATGGTCAGCTCTTTGTTGATTGTTTTTTTAAACATTTTTATTTATTTTTTTTTAGTAATTACATATAAGATGCATCGACAAATTGCTAGCTCTGTGGTTGGTTCTCCTGGACAAAAATTTGCTGCCTGGCTACTCTCTAAAAATGCTCCATCATTATTCAATGCACCTGCAAGACTCTATAATGTACCTGCTGCATCTGAACCCTTTTTAAATGGTAGTTCTAGTCAATATGTAGAAGATATGTACAATGCCTGGCTAGCTGATCCATCTAGTGTCCATGCGGTAAGTTAAAAAAAAATGTAACACTTTAAATAATGCTCTTATGGCTAATATCTCTTAATCAGGCACCATTATGTAATTTCAAATATCAAATTGGTGATAAAAAAATTAATGTTGGTAAGTAGTGCAAGAATATTTAATTATTGTACATGACAATTTTATTTGTATTTTAAAGCTAAATCTGCCCTAAATGATAATAAATATACCAACTAGGTTTAGCTAAATTACTGATTTTGAAAAATAGTTTTTAAATTATTATATCTGATTAAAACTTTCCAACTGAAAATATGCATTCATTGAACTATTACTTACCTGTTTATTATCTCATATTTATCTGTTTTCAATAGACTGGAAATTATACAAAGGTTAATTGTTTTTTTTTTATAAACTTCATTATGTTTAGATATACACAGCTTTTAAATAAATATTTTAATTACCTTTTGAGGACTTTTATGGATTTTGATGCAAGTAATAAAACAACAAATAAACATGCATTTTACCCAGTTAGTTAATTATATATATTTTTTTTTAAATTAAAATTTGTTATACATTTTGATAGATTTTTTTGTGGTTTACTTCTCAGATACTTGCCTAAAAAGAAAATATATCTACTAAATTCAAGGTATACAAAATGAAGGTTGGAATGAAAACAGCTGTTTTAAAAAATATAATTCACTTTCTTAATATTCATGGTCACTAAACTAGGTCAACTATTATACCTTTTCTCTAGGACAATTTAATAGATCAATATTTTGTGAAATTTAAACAATAATTGTAAACCTTTATTTTATTTGTTTCACATTTGATTTGTTCTAAAAGAGACCAGTGTATATTTAAAAAATTTCAAAACCATTTGAGTACTTAAGCTAGACAAAATATCATTGCAACTAATACAAAAATAACAGTAAACCAGATACATAAATATGAAAAAATTTTCAAAAACGAAGGTTTATTATTTTTTCTATAAGTTGACAGTAAAAAATGATTGTCTCATTGTAAGTTATTTTAAATTTGTTTATCTATGCATTTATCTTTAATAAACAATTTAAAAAAAGTTGCTTTAACTATGCTGCAAGTATCGTTAGTTTTAATTAATTGCTGGATCTAAGAAAGCATAATTTGATGTGTTTTTACTTGAAATGTTGAGGGGTAATAAAGTATATTTTTGAAACAAAGTATTACCAAATATGTGTATATACAAAGTGTCTATAAACTCTGTTGCCAAATGAAAAAATGAATTCTAGAGATAACTTTACAAAAATTTGATCAAAAAGGTCTCTTACGGGATTTTCCAAAGCCAATGTTCACTATCTTTTATTTAAATGTCAATTACGATGGTTTGAAACTAAGTAATTTTAAAATTTCTGCATTATTAAAAAAAGAGATTAAGTATGCTCACAAGAGAAAGACCCTAATTTTCATAAAAACGGTTGAAAATGCTGATAATAATAAAAATAATATATTGAATAATAGTAGTATGGTTCTCTCAGATAATGTGGATAACCATAATAGCAGTGACATTCAGAACTTAAGTAATACGGGTTTTCCAATAATACTAGAAACCCAGTCAATGACTTAAATACCTTAAATATATGTCAAGCAGTACTATTTAATTTAAAAATCATCTCTGTAAATAATAATATTTATTCGGCTTTGAGACATACATATTTACAATATTTTAAAAAGTAGAGACGTGAGTTTAAAATAAAGTAAAAATTAAAAATAATATACAATAGGGCAAGAACATTAGACAATAATTATAATGAAGAGATATCATTACAGATCACCGAGTATCATTCATAAATTCTGCATAGGAATACTTATTATGTTTTGGATGAAAGATATGCATAAAGCTTATTTTTGAATACATTAAAGATTTTTTCATTACCATTGACTTGAGTATATCTATTAAAACATGCAACACCTCTGTAGATTTCGGAATTCTGTCCAACTGAGAGTCTAGAGAAAGACTGCTGTAGATATTTGTGATTGCGAGTGTTATAATTATGTGAGTGTCTATAATCTGATAATTGGAATTCCTGTTTTTTTATACTAATTTTTAGTAAGTATATATACAAAGATAGAAGTGTTAGGATTTTAAAGTCATGAAAAAGTTGTTTGCAGCTAGTTGTTCTTGAAACTCCAGCCATGCATCTTATAACTTTTTTTTGTACACAGAAGGCTTGCTCCAGATGAGCTGAGCAGCCCCAAAAAATTAGACTGTATGAGATAATTGATTCAACCAAACCAAAATATGTTAATTTCAAAACATTTAGATTTACAGTGTTTTTTAACTGCCTCATTAGAAAACATACACTACTTAGTTTATTTGATACATGATCTACATGGGTTCTCCTACGTTAACTTGCTGTCCAGAATTAGATCTAAGAATTTGCTTGAATTTGTATCAATGATTTAGATTAATGAGATAGCTGAAGTCGATTGTTATATTTTTTGGTAAAAAGGTCATGATTTCAAATTTTTTTACTAACTCCCCTATAGCACTAGATGTTGACTTATTTATGCAAAAACCATGTTGAAATTTACTCAAAAATCTATTATGTTCTAGAAATATAATGAAACTGTTATTATAGGCCATTTCGAATACTTTAGCCTCTTAACATTGAATGCAGATGTTCCTATAGTTTGCCATGTCATTTACAGACCCTTTATTTTTATATATAGAAATGGATTTTGATTTTTTTAATATGCTAGAATAGTCACCACATAAAAAAGACTCGTTTATAAGGTAGGGCATAGGTACACTAATATCGTCAGTAATAAAAGACAATATTGTTCCATCTATTTCATCTATACTGGCAGATTTTTTACAAGTTATTTTCTATATAATTTATGTTATTTCCTTTGGGGTAGTTGGAGCTAAAAATAGAGTGCTTATAGAAAAATCTTGAAGCCTTGCTTCACTATAATTTGGTAGAAGATAGTCTACTGATTATTAAAAGCATTACATATTTTTTGTACACCAGACATTTTCTGGCCTTGACAATTTAGCATCTGGATGGGTAATTTTTTTACTGATTTTCCTTTTGCCTCATTTACAACTCTCCAACATTCTTTTGTTGAATTTTTTGCATTAATTACCCTTTTATTATTATAGGAAAGTTTGCCGATTTGACTTTATTATCATAAATTATTTTGAATTTTTTATAGTTCTCCCTAATAGTATCATTATTACTACTTACGTATATACTAT